TGCAGGTTTTCCTACTTACAAAGCATGTAGAGGTCTGTCATTTTTATCATAGGTACACTTAATAATAATTAATGACATGACATGACATAAGTATTTGATCACCTACCAACCAGTAAGAATTCCGGCTCTCACAGACCTGTTAGTTCTTCTTTAAGAAACCCTCCTGTTCTCCTCTCGTTACCTGTATAAAAGACACCTGTCCACACACTCAATCAAACAGACTCCAAACTCTCCACAATGGCCAAGACCAGAGAGCTGTGTAAGGACATCAGGGATAAAATTGTAGACCTGCACAAGGCTGGGATGGGCTGCAGGACAATAGGCAAGCAGCTCGGTGAGAAGGCAACAACTGTTGGCGCAATTATTAGAAAATGGAAGAAGTTCAAGATGACGGTCAATCTCCCTCGGTCCTGCAGCGCACGCGAGGTCCCCCTGCTCAAGCCAGCGCATGTCCAGGCCCGTCTGAAGTTTGCCAATGACCATCTGGATGATCCAGAGGAGGCATGGGAGAAGGTCATGTGGTCTGATGAGACAAAAATAGAGCTTTATAGTCTAAACTCCACTCGCCGTGTTTGTAAGAAGAAGAAGGATGAGTATAACCCCAAGAACACCATCCAAACCGTGAAGCATGAAGGTGGAAACATCATTCTTTGGGGATGCTTTTCTGCAAAGGGGACAGGACGACTGCACCGTATTGAGGGGAGGATGGATGGGGCCATGTATCGCGAGATCTTGGCCAACAACCTCCTTCCCTCAGTAAGAGCATTGAAGATGGGTCGTGGCTGGGTCTTCCAGCATGACAACGACCCAAAACACACAGCCAGGGCAACTAAGGAGTGGCTCCGTAAGAAGCATCTGAAGGTCCTGGAGTGGCCCTATCCAGTCTCCAGACCTGAACCCAATAGAAAGTCTTTGGAGGGAGCTGAAAGTCCGTATTGCCCAGCGACAGCCCCGAAACCTGAAGGATCTGTAGAAGGTCTGTATGGAGGAGTGGGCCAAAATCCCTGCTGCAGTGTGTGCAAACCTGGTCAAGAACTACAGGAAACGTATGATCTCTGTAATTGCAAACAAAGGTTTTTGTAACAAATATTAAGTTCTGCTTTTCTGATGTATCAAATGCTTATGTCATGCAATAAAATGCAGATTAATTATTTAATATTCATACAATGTGATTTTCTGGATTTTTATTTTAGATTCTGTCTCTCACAGTTGAAGTGTACCTATGATAAAAATGACAGACCTCTACATGCTTTGTAAGTAGGAAAACCTGCAAAATCAGCAGTGTATCAAATACTTGTTCTCCCCACCATAAATGTGGGCGTTTAATGTGTATTACACTCAGTATTTACAGGACTTGTGTCACTGTACTCAAAGCATTACACAATCTTCAAATTTTTTGATCTTTCTGATTAAAGCTGGGCTCGGTTTTCTGATCAGTCATTTAGCACCCCTGCTTAACAGTCCTGTTCTTCCTCTTCTACAGAGGCTGTAGAAAGCACAATGCCCTCTCTTCTCCTTTTCAGTCAAAATTCCCAGCCTCAATCTGCAAGTCACGATGTAGAGACTTGGTTTTACTCTCTACAACACGAAACGTGTTCTTTAAGAGGCAGCACCGGCTCTACATAGATCTCTTTCAAGGTTTAAGAAAAAGTAATTTTATAGTCCAACAAAAATAAATAATTCCAAAATCCATTTTTAAAAGCAAATAAGACAAACTACTCAGAATTATGGTATACAGAGATTAGTTGTGCTTGTAAACAATGTTTTCTAAATCAACAGTGTGACCCATTTGTCACTATTGGTCTTAACAACAGCAGATTACCGTCAATTTTGCTGTGGTTGACAATGGTCTGACAAGGATGAATCCTAATGATTCTGATCACCACCAATCTCTCCTCTAGCGCCAACATCACGGCAAATGAACCCACGTACACACAATAAAAAAAGTCACAATAGTGAGGGGAACTAACAAACCAAGCTGCATCTATTGTCTTCAAAACTGCCCCACAGAGGATAAATAGCTGGGACTCCCAGTCAGTCAGTCAGAACTGAAGAAGCCCCTTGGATGAGCGGCGAAACGTCCTGGAGTATCTTCATAATCTGAATCCACTTTATCACCACATACTTTTTACCTCTCCGGTTGCCCTTGATTTTAACAAACCTTGCATAACTATGTCTGAGAATCTTCATTTACTCAAAAAAATAACTTCTGTTTCAAACTTCTGCTGTGAAGGTGACTGTTGCTTTTCTGTCTTTGTGCTGAAATCTTCATTATGCAAGTCAGAATGAGGACTTTAAAATTCATTCAAACAGCACAACAGCTCTTTGACTGGCCTCATGAAGTAAAAATAATAAGATATAAGCTAAACCTGCACATCCCATCCAAATCATTGTTGGGGTTTAGTGCCTTGGGAAAGACACTAAACCCCAAATGGCTCCCAATGCTCAAAGCCAGCCTCTCTGCATGGTAACTCACTGAGCTATGCTCAGGTTTCTTCATGCAACTCGGATTTTCCGTTCCTAAACAACTTGAAAGATGATAAGTGATACAGTATGTAAATGGTGGGCTTTAAAAATGTGCCTTCAGAAACCTGTTGGTAACCAGCAGTGGACAGTAACTAAGTACATTTACTCAAGTATTGTACAAATTTAGGTACTTGTTCTTTACTTGAGTGTCTTCTTCTAATGCCATTTCCTACTACTACACTACATCTTATGCCTAGTTCAGATTACATTTTCAACAGCGGCAGATCACTGTGCTGTTCACACTACTTAACTTGCTGTATTGTAATGGGAGTGTTGAAGTTGTGCTGTGGCTGATTGGCGACAGGGGGTCACACACTACGCGAGCTGACAATGACTCATGTCATCTGACCACTGGTCCCAAAACCACGTTTTTTGTCAAGAAAACGCGAATAACGAGTTGATTACTTTTCTAAGATACCCATCTCAGTGAAAAATGGATTAGCAGCAGGGATTTTCTGTGCTACAGAGAGTTAGAGTAATAAAGTGTCCCTTTGGGCATTGGGTAACTGTGATGGCATTTTTTTTACTATCAATTCACTCAATCAATCAAACTAGTGGCAGCCCTTTGTTCGTTTTTTAACGCCCTGGATACCCCTTTATGCATGCAGTTCTCGGCAGAGAATTTTTTGCTGCTCGCACAAAGTTTACAATGGATGACATTGTTCTTTACATCTCAGACTGTGACACAATAATGGCAGGAGCTACTTACAGTTTCAAAAAACGCCTCTCTCCCTTGTTCTCCAGCTTTTTGGCCAACAGCTGATTTAAACAACATAAGGTCCGGTACTACCGACCTGCAGCGCATTCACATCAGGGATGGTGCGTTTATTAATGCAGTGTAACTTAAATTAGTAACATTAATATTATTACTGTTTTGGAAATAGTAATATGTTACACTAGCCTACTCTTTACTGGGAAAAGTAAGAATATTTCAGTATTACTGCCCAACACGTCACATACCACTGATGCATGAGAGTGACTGGGGTACACACTGCGCAGGTGTGGAAGAAAAATCTTTACGTACATCAGCCTTTAGATGTCCTCAAATCCTCTCCATTTTACTCGGGCACACACTGCGCACACACACACATACACGGCTATGTGTAGTCTCACTGTCTGTACCACATGTCAGTTACATTAGCAATGCTCAAACACTACAAAATACTGTATATCACTACATAATACTGTATATCACTACATAATACTGGATATCACTACATAATACTGTATATCACTACATAATACTGTATATCACTACATAATACTGGATATCACTACATAATACTGGATATCACTACATAATACTGTATATCACTACATAATACTGGATATCGCTACATAATACTGTATATCACTACATAATACTGGATATCACTACATAATACTGGATATCACTACATAATACTGGATATCACTACATAATACTGGATATCACTACATAATACTGTATATCACTACATAATACTGTATATCACTACATAATACTGGATATCACTACATAATACTGGATATCACTACATAATATCAATGAAGTGAGGGGCCAGCTGTCTGGTCTGGATTGATTTGCAGTTTGGTCCAGATCTTAATCTGGGTCTGGACTTTGATAAGTTCTTTTATAAGGTCCAATCTGTAATCATCATTCTTGTGAGAATTTTGTGAGAACTATTACATGTGTTTAAGTGTTATCTTCTCATGAACAGATGGAGAGGCAAGATGAAAACCGTGAGAGTTTGGTTTTGATGTGAATCTACTAGTCATCCAGCAAGCAGAAGTCGACATCTTGTGTTTATCTTATGATGACTAAGCTATCAGCGATCTAACACAACTCACGGTGGTTAAGTTTTTGTTTTTTGTCACATCCTCTTTGCCATAAAGGCCACAAATGCTTTCACAGGCATTCATATCGCCTGTCTTCAGGGATTCAAAGGAAAGAATAATGCATTGGATTGTACATCATGAGCTTCTCTGTGTTGACACGCCAAAGCATATGGAAAAAGTTATGTTTTTGATTTTTATTATTAATCACAGAAAACTCTACTGTGACTGGTTGGTTGAGGCCTGTGGAATGTGGGACAAACAATACACCAGCAGCACCAACTGAACCTTGCCAAACTTTCTGTAAACAAAACTACTGAACAGTATTTATAACATTAACTTTTGTAAAATAGATGTAACTATATTCTTTATAATTTCATATAACAGTATACTATAAAGCTTCCCATTAGTATAATATTAATTCCATTTCCAGGTGTACATTTCCAGGTTACATAAGAAGAACTTATACCTTGATCTCATCTCCTTTCATTTCATTTTCTCTCACTCAAAATGACACAGAAATTAATAAAAAGTGATGATGAATTATTTAATCCTCTTTTTAACTTCTCAAAAATCATACTGAGAATCTGAATTGTTGCCCTTCTTCTTATCTTCCTCTTCCTACATTTTGAAGGAACATGTTCAAATAAGGGTATGAAGCCACTGTGAGGGGTTTGGCCACGGTCTCTCTGCCCTCTATAAAGAAAATGTCACTTCCCTCTGACTGTGTTCTCTGCAGCAGCACCTTCCCCACACCGGAGGAGTCTTCAGAGTATCTGTCAGTCATCTTTCTCCACAAAGTAGGTACACGTAATAAAAAGTGCACACTTTCACTCCTCTGGGCAAAATGGAGAATGGCTGCATCAATTAATGTGCTGATGATTTAACAGTCTCAATTTCAGGGTTACACCTTCAGCTCGATTTTTTAGCTGACTAATTGTCAAAATCATAAACATGCTTTAGAATGTAGGAAAATGAAAAGCAAATAATCCTCACATTTGAGAAGCTGACACCGTTACCAATTTTGCATGAAGAATAACTTAATGATTACTTGGTATTCAAAATCATTTTAATAGCAGATTCTTTTCCGGTCAAGTGACTAATCAGTTCAGCTAATAATGTATCTTCTAAAATAGTCATGATGTGATTTAGTTTAGTGCTGTGGAGATGTCCTGTGTGTTAGTTATTTAGCAGGATTTATACAATGCCTTAGATTTCTGAACATTTCTAGTAATACAAATTTGTGTCATTCCTGTAGGGTGTTAGAACCAGCAGATCCTGCTGGTAACACACGTAAAGGTGAGTTATTTATTTATCATCTTAAGAGACTCTGCCTTAATATTAGAAACATTGTGTTAAATAAGCTGAACACGGTCAAAACCTGCAGCAGACACCCCGACTGCTAACTATAAGCTATATTTTTGTCATGTACTTGGTTTAAGTCTTATTATTATTGTTTAATTATCTGCTTTGTGTTAAAACCACTCTATTATCAAACATGTGCAGATGGCTGGCCTTTACTGGATGGCTGTGGTGCTGGCCTTCTTCCTGTCTGCTGAAAACAGTTTGGCTGCTGTGGACCAGAACTGGCTCACAAGTACTATAGAAGCCATCAAGAATGAGTGAGTCCCCAAGTCTGTTGTGCTTTGTCTTTTCTGATGACTCTATTCTATTGCTACCACTACTACTGCTAAGGCTCGATCAGTTTTTATTAGTGATTCAATAAATAAACAGATTTCTACAGACGATAAGTGCTTGAAGTTGTTAGTGACATGTTAGTCTTTGGTGTACCGGGGCTTCTTCTTGCGTACTGGTACTTCTCCTAAGCTGCCGGTCCCTCTCCATGTCAGGTTCTCTGGGCGCTACGTGACGCTCACCGATTCCCGTTCTTGCCTGCCTGCTAATCTGTCGGCGGAGACAGAGCATGGAAAAAAAGAAGCTTAGGTGCCTTTGATGCAGCCGTGTGCATAAAGTAGCTGATCAATGTCACTTTTTGTGAACCGTCCAATCACAGCCGGGATGAGAACCAAAATTTTGAAATGTTGAACTGGTTCTGCATGAATGGTTATGACAATTTAAAACTGACCACCATGTTGCAATTTCTTGCACAATAATTTAATGAATAAAAACCACAAAAATGAAACAGCTGTTTTGTTCAACTAGAATTAATATAGCCTACTAACTGGTAAGATATATTAGTGGTTTATACTATTTTCTGAAATATATATCTATATAGATATATGCAAAATGCTAAAATGGGTTGCTAAATATACATTGGCAGCTGTTATTACTATGACTGGGGGCCCCTCCCAATTAAAGCCTATATGTGGGAAACAGTGTGACAGAATCCTAAACTCAAGCTGTGTCTCAATTCGGATAGTTATTTTAGCACACTTTCATGTAGTACACTGTGTACACTATGTATTTACTTGCCTAGAGTGTGAAATTAAACAGGGTGGCGTTGCCTTAAACAGAACACAGCTGTTGTATACTAACCACAAAGACAACTGCAACATTTGACCACTTCTTCTTCTTAATAGCGAATTGCAACCGGACAGAGCATTACGGCCAAATGAACCCATTAAATACTGCTGGCTTCAAATTCATAATCTCATGTCAATGTCATTTACAGTACATACTTTATATCACATGAACCAAGATGCTCATGTAATGTTTTCCTTTGGCAGGTATGCACTAGGTGAAACCTTCAGTCTGGCTGTGAACGCCCCACAAGACCCAAATAATCTTCAGCAAGTGTTTCAGGATGACCCAGCAGACAAAGTGAAACAAGCTGTTTCAGGGGGTCAAGTGTACAAAGGCACCAGAGTGGTGGCATCATCTGGGCCAGTGTCAACTGTGCTAGAGAACATAGAACCCTTCATTAAAAGCAGTCAGGGTAATTTCCTTATCATCTACTCTGAAGAATCCCCATGTGGTACAACATGTACAAATGCAAATGACGACGGTATCGCAGCCAAGATTAACGATGTCACTCAGAACTGGGGTGGTTATGCATTTGTGTTTTCTAAAGTAGTTGATGTTCCTGATGCAGACGCGTCTCAACTGTCACAATCCTTTAAACAACTTGGGATCTCTAAACTTGGGCTTGATAACATATTCCGTTGTTACAAACCTGGAGATGATCCTTTTCAGTGCACCAGCTGCTCCTCAGGTGGAGATGTTACACCCTCATGTGTTGCAAACAATGCCGTGTCAAATCAAGAACAGGGCGGCGGCGAGGAAATAGCACCGACCCAAGCAATACCAACAGACACAGGTGGAGGAACAGGTGGTGGCAGCAAAGGAAAGGGTAAAGGCGGACGAGTGAGCAAGTGCAAAGGACGTGGCAGTCGTAAAAGAGGCTGCAGACGTGGTAAAGGTGGCAGGGTTAAAAACAATGCAAGCGTAGAGGAGGCTGCAAACGCAGAGGCGGCGGCAAGCGTAGAAAAGGCGGCAAGGTTAGGAAGTGGCGCAAACGTGGCAAGGGTAAAAAACGGGGTAAGTTTCGAAGAGGCCGTAAAGGTAAAAAAGGGCGCAAGGGTAAAAAATGGCGTAAGTCTCGAAAAGGGCGCAGAGGCAAAGGTAAACGAAGGGGCAAGGCTAAAAGAAGAAGCAAGAAGAGATGGGGACTAGAATGATACAGGTATCTTAGTAAGAACCTGAGAATCTAAGCAGCCGCCCAATGTCTTGTGCTTAGCTAAAATGCACTTGTTTCGATTCTTTCTTTCCATCTTTTAATGGCTGCGTCAATACACATTTAGTTCATGTTCCCTGAGCCAGTGTTCAACAGATGCTTTACTATGCCAAACCTCTTCTTCGTATTGTCAGTATTTAATGTTATCTCGAAAATTTCCAAGAGTCTGAACTTCAAATTTGTGTACATATTTATATGGACAAATCTGCAATATCGGTTTAAAGAAAAATTAAATAAGACTAAGCATTCATGGCCAACTTTAAGAACTTGATAGTTTTTGACACCTGATGCTGCAGACAATCAGGTCAGGTCAGGTTGGAATTAATCCAAATTGTGATGTTATGAGATTTGTTTAATTTCTTTGTTTTGAATCCTGAGTTCCCAGCCACAGGGAATGTGACCTCACTGCCATTTAGCTGATGAGGAAACATTCACTGTTTGTTTCCAGAAATGTTCTTTAGTTCCATTATTAAATGGAGGCAAAGCAAGAAAGGAGGGTTCATGTAAATTATTCTTGGTATATTTGGAACTTATGTACTCAGTACTTCTAAAGCATAAAGCATTTTTATATCATCTGATGTTTTGTTCTTTCTGATTAAAGCTTCACTCAGCATTCATTCTGTGTGTGTGTCAATTTTTTGGGAACTCCTGCATTAAGTGCCCCTAAAAATAAATGTAAGCATGCAGCACTGCACCGGAGTTGCTTCTAACCTGATTGACAGCTCACCATTATAGCAGTCTGTCAATCACAAGGTTGTCCCACCCTAAAGCCCTGTCCCCTGTATTCTGGTCTATTTTCCTCTAAATGGGACCATAATTTACAAAAGAACATCATGCTGTGTTGAAGAAGATTTGAAACTAAAGATTGAGATCATAACTCATAAGGAGAGTGTTTACTGAGGTAATAAACCGTGTAAGAATTAGCCTCATTTCGCCATTATTTCAAATGTAAAGGGAATTCTTTATGCAAACAGTGGAGTCCCCCCCTGCTGGTCATTAGGACTTTTGTATTGGCTTCACTTTTCAGACCCGGAGGTTCCTTCTTGAGCTCAACATAGTTTGATTAAAAATGCTGGATGAGCTGTTTGACACAGTGTGTTAGGTAGTAGTAATTGTCATATCATATACAGTTCACAACTAAAGATGATATTACATTATTCAGATTAATTAAATAAACAAAAAGGTTATTCATAAATGTATAGAGGCCATTTTGAAACCCACCACCCCTTTCCATGTCATTTTTTGTGCCAAGAGATTCAGTTTCCACGTCCTTGTGTTGTGATCAAAGAAGACATCCTCAATCACTAATGCAAGAAACAAACTGTACTGCACTGTATTTTACAGTTTTGCAACATATAGGTTTGTCTAATCAAATGTAACTCTGAGACTGTCCTCTCTGACGGGGGCCCTGCCCACCTCTGTGAGCCTGTCCACGAGCTCTTTAATCGACTGTAGGTACAAGATGAAAGGAACTGCTTGTGTTCACTCCCATTTTTAATTTTAAATCCCACTGAGATCGCATACAGTGAAAATCTCACGCCTTAGGCCCCATCCACACTATGTTTTAGTTTAGAAACAGAGAATTAAAACAAATCTCTGTCCACACCAGCGTTTTAGCTGCGTATCAGAGTTGATCTCATTCTCGTGCACTGGGCATGTGTGTGCCGGAGTTACCATGAAGCAGATGGTCTATTCCGTAGTTACAGAAGATTTGACAAAAGAATAAAGTAATGCAGACAAAGAACCGTACCAGATATTTTTTTTGCCTGGTCTCAAAAGGAGCTGGAACTGTTTCTGAATGTAACACGGGAGTTAAAATCGGCTGTGGCGGCGTGAAACAGACTGGGAGTCGTCGCAAAGTAAACGCCGACATACACAGTAGGCTGCAAGTGTAGGCTGTGAGTGTTATTTGCACAATACAAAATATTTAAATAAAAATACCAAATCAAAAACTCTTTTCGTTTCTGAAGTCCATAAGTTCCATAATCTCATTTTCTGTAGCCTATATATTTTTATTGCACACATTTATGCTCACATGACAAAGGTCTAAGGGCTTAATTGAAGTATCTCTGTTGATAGTATACGATTTATACAACTGCGCCACCTGAGCAAACCAAACCACTCAGTATGTGTGTGCCATGTCTTACTACTGGTTAAAACTAGTTTTTCTTCCCCACTCCCTCAGAAGTTAAAATAAAGAATAAATAAAGAATACACGTCTTTTTAATATAATCCTTCTAAGAATCTGCACTTTTATCCTGTTCAGTTCAGCTGCCTCATGGTTCACAGGTTAAATGTTTCTGATGTGCTCTCCGTGTAACTGGGAAGAGAATTACAGTTTTTTGTTTGTTTGTTTTAAAAAAGAGACTCACAGTTTTCCTGAAATCTGTGGCTTAAAACCAGATGAACACAGTTGAAAAGCATTGTGCTTTAAAAAATGAAACATGATGTACCTGTGGATCTGAGAACAGACTCAGAGTACGCAGGTCGTTTTCAGTACAGTTGTTCTACAACATCTGCACTCTGAGAATCACAGACCTGAGAGAGCGACTCAGCTGAGTACAAGTTCAGGTTCATAACAAACCAACCAGGTGGAAGATTTACTGGTTCACCTGGAGTCACTTTGTGTGTCACAGGTAACACTTTTGATCTAAATACATGTCGGTTCCACATGTTCTGTCTATGTGTATCTATTAGTGGGTGAGGATGTCGACTGTTGTTTCTGTTGTGTTCATGTGGTACAGGAAAGGACAGAAGAAGACAAATATCCATCTTTTTCAGACGAGTCCTTTAGACAGTTTTGTCTAATGTAAAACAACAAGGTATTTTTGCTCTTGCCCAATGTTCCTCTACCTCTAATGTGCCAAATGCATACATACAGCATATTGTGTGTGAGCGGTTGAGAGTGACCACACTTCCTCTTTCTGTGAAAAATGTAGTTTTACCTGTGCTGTTTTAAAATCATTTTATCTTTCAGGTGTCTATAAATAGAAACCTGCAACAGAGTGACTTACACCAACAGAGGCATCCAAAGGCTCACCAGTGGACATTTTTGCACGGACGAGAGTGATGAAGAACATTAATCAACATTGGGTCTTGAACGTAGTCCTCAGTGGCAGAAACCTTTGAATATTTTAAATCCTACATTGTTTACATCCATGTTTACACATGTTTCTTTAGCACCAACTGTTGATCAGTGGAAAGTGAACCACTGGCAGCAGTTTATAAAGCCTCACCCAAATGCTGACCTGTTAATGTTTGTCCTCTCCTGCACGAGACAAACACAAATGGACCCGCTCATAAAACATCATTGTTATTTCCATAAACTTTATTTTAAGAAGTTACTGCTGCATCATTTGCAAAACAGCAATAAGAATAAAAAACATTCTAAGAACAAAACTAATCATATATTAATTTCAACTTGCAAAGATTTACTGACATCATCTGTTGATGCATATTAATAATGTAAAGAGGAAGGAAGCCAGGGCAGCGTTTAACAACTTATCAACAACTGTCCCACGCACAGAGAGACAGACTGTCCTCAAACACAGCATCCTTCCTTTTTGAATCCAATTTTTTTGGACTAACTGACATACAGGACTTCTCATGTTTTTGCTGATTACCTGCTGATTTTGCTGACAGACGTGAGGAGCAGCTATGAGTTTAACAGCAGCAGCGAGTGGATTTGTTGTCTTCCTTCTCTCAGTACAAGGTACTGTCCATCTTTATATCGTGTTAGCACACTTCAGAAAATCAGAGGAAGGTGGGTTTAGTAAATAATCATTTTGATTTGAGATGTTATGCAATGTGTTGCGACCCCTGCAACCCTAGACATTCATTTCTCTTTCTTTAAATTGAAGTTTTTACAAGACTACGACAGTTTTTTTTACACCAGCAGACTCTCGTTGCGTTTATACCTTACCAATGTAAATGTCATAAACTAAATTATATAAAATGATGATTATGAACAATGTTTAATGTTTAAAATTGATAAGTCAAATGCTTGAAAATAAACCTTGTGGCGATTTCTGTCTCTAGAATAAGTCTGTAATGTTTTATCACACCATACAGTATCATCCACACTCACACAGCAGCCTGACCACAGGAAGGAAAGAAGCCGCGCTCCACCCTTCTAATATTTAATTTTTCATACTTTTCAGTTTCAGTATATTGCTGCTCTTCCTTCAGTGCAGCCTCTGTGTGATGTCCTGCCTCAGTGCACTTTGAGATTAACTGCAGAGATCATATGTACATATTTGACTGTTCCTTTGCGTCATACAGTCTATTCTCATAGCTTTGTTCACTTTGGAATAAACCAGATACAAGTTGTTTTACAGTATACTGGTATATCCATTTTTAAAACAAACCAAAAGAGAAGAAAGAATAAGTTGGTACAATGAGATTATCTTTATCTCACACTGACTTAAAGTGGGATGGCATGAGAGCCAAAGTAAGGAGTCATGTAGCTTCACACGCTGAAGCACCTCTAATACAAATGAAAGTCTGTCTCCTGATGTTGTTGAGTCTGACTGTAGTTTCTGATGTGCTCTGTGTTACAGTGATACAGGCTCAGAATGGCTGGGGAGTGACTTACACCTCTACTCAGATCTGTGCCTTAAAAGGATCAACAGTGGAAATAACTGCACCTACACATACCCATCCAGAATAAATGGCCGTGATACTACAGTTGAGGAAACATTCTGGTTTACTCAAATGAATGGAGATGTACCTGTGGATCTGAAACAGACTCAGAGTACGCAGGTCGTTTGCAGTACAGTTGTTCTACAACATCTGCACTCTGAGAATCACAGACCTGAGAGAGAGCGACTCAGCTGAGTACAAGTTCAGGTTCATAACAAACCAACCAGGTGGAAGATTTTATGGTTCACCTGGAGTCACTTTGTCTGTCACAGGTAACATTTGTGTTGGAAACCATGTCAGTTAGCTCCAACATGCTCCACATTTGGGAAACACTACAGTGAATCTCGGTGTGCCTGTTATCATGTGTGTAAATTTACAGTTCAATCTAAAATAATATTTTTGTTTTTTTACAAATGCAGGTTTCCAGGTGCAGATGAGCAGCTCACAATCATGCATGTTTTACACGTGTACATGGTCACAGCTGAAGTGTCTCAGCAGCTGTAGTCTACCTGATCAACCTCCTACATCTGGTACAAGAATGGACAGAAAATTAAGGAAGAATCATCTTATTCAGACTACTTTTATCCTGCAGACAGCTATTCATGCGCCCTTAAAGGACATGAGGAATTTCCTTCTCCATCAGTGTGTGAGTTCACTCCACAAACTTCTACTAATGTGACAAAGTTTTGAACATTTTAGCTGATGTTCTGTACCAGACTTCATTTATCTTTTAACATGAGCGACCCCATCCACAGGAATACAACCAGCTGTGAATTACTGCAGTAAAGACTAGTTTTAATAATAATTATCAAAAATATTTACATTTTTCAGGTGGCCACGGTCAAACCTGCAACAGAGTGACTTACACTGACAGAAGCATCTGTGCTGTCAAAGGCTCATCAGTGGACATTTCTTGTACTTACAACAGTTATGAAACTATCACATCTAAATTCTGGTTCAGTCCTGAACGTAGTCT